TGCCTCCCCAGCAAGGGCGGTGCTCACACGGCTGCCTGCGCGCACCCGACTGCAGCAGCAGGCTGTGCTTTCACATCGGCTCCCAAGGAAACCTGACCACGCTCACGAGTACCAGGTGAGACACAGAACAGGTAGGCAGTGCTCTGGTCCGGGTCCAAAGCCAGGCAAAGCTCACTCTGTGGCTTAAACCTCTTGTCAGGGCATCCTGGGTCCCTCGACAGCCTGGCCCTTCACTCCCAGCCCTTGGCAGCTGGAGGGACACCAACCTCCCACCACCTGCAACACCACGTCCCAGAGCACAAGAGACCAGGTGACAGCCGTGAACAGCTCTGCAGCACCTGGGCAGTGACACCTTGGGGTGCTGCCAGCAACTCTAAACAGCCTGCGCTGCAAAACAGAAATCAGGCTTGCTACAAGAACTCCTGCCTCATTTTTAATGAAGAAATTAAGTGCAAATTCCCAGTTTCCTTTCTGTGGCTAATCCTCTGGATTTATTTGAGTAGATGTAGGGTTAGAGCACATTTAGTTTCATGTTTGGAATTTCTAAATTAGTATAAACCAGCACTTCAAAGTAACTCAGCTCCTATAAAACACAATCCCATGGAGATGCCACAGTATATTTGGACAGTAAGTAGATGCTTTGTCATATTCCCACGTGCATATGAGATTTTTTTCTTTGGGAACATTTTCTGACTGGTTTTAAACCACATTTCCATGCCCAGGCACACATATATACAGAGGTTGTTTATACAGTCTACCCAAGGAGTTCATTTTATTTAACAACCCATTACAGTACAGCTCACTGGTGGGTATCTCATCATGATACCCCCAAACACAGTGTTCAGTGACCATGCAGGATCTGACACAAAGCCACAAGAGCCAGAAACTTGAGAATTAATGCTGAAACGTTTCATTATCCCATGCCACTATGCCTATGGTTTTCAGCAGAGGAAACAAACTGGATTTTCAGCCTTTTTCAAGTTGCAGGCCCCAAAATATTTCCCAAGAGATATGCAGTTCCCTGGCCAGCAAATCTAGGCCTAATGACTATATCTGCTTTCTGTACCTCTCCAGGAGTTTTTAGGAGACCCTGGGGCTCATGCAGAACCCACAGAAGACCCTGAGTTTGGTGCAGCTGTGAGCATGGGATGGGGTTTCCAGTTCAGCTTTTCCTCAAATAAGCTTGCTCATCACAGCAAAATGTGCACACAAAGGTGCCTGGCCGTGTCCCCTGCCAAAACACCCACTGAGAGATGGAGCAGTGGCAAGAGGACACTGTGGGGGCTTTGCTGCACTGGGACATGGCTGTGATGCAGTGAGACCAGAGGAACAACCAGGCAGACCTTTGCTTTCAGTGGCACTGAGGGGGACACTCCTGGGATGTCCCACTCCTGGGATGTCCCACCCCTGGGATGTCCCACCCCTGGGATGTCCCACTCCTGGCATGTCCCACTCCTGGCATGTCCCCTGCTCTCAAGCCAGCTGGAAGCTGGGGGTGGGCTCTTGCCTGCTTTGCTTTCTTATGAAATGTCTGTGTGGGATGTCTTCAGCACCCCACAGCTGTGTCACACTCCAGCCATGCAGCCAGCATAACCTTCAAAGCCACTGGGCCATGATCCTCCCGGGGCAGAGCAGCTCAAATAGGAGCTACAAACCCACGCAGTGTCCCAAGGATTTGATAAGCTCTGTCAGCACGCTGCTGCAATTGCTGTTACAGGCAGTTTGCTCCAGAGAGCTCCTACTCCTCTTCCCTTCTGGGGGCTTGAGTCCAAATTCCACATGGGCTTTGAGTGGGCAAAACACCGCAGCGATTCCATGCAAGTATTCCAATTTAGCTGCATTTGACACAAAATTCATTATAAAAAACTATTTCTGTTGAGGGGAAGCAATCCTAGAGCTCACCCACTCACCGTCGGTGCAAGAAGCCAACCAACCTAAATCCTTCCCTCACACATCCTCCTTCCCCTGAGCTGCCACTGTGAATTCATCTCCTCAGTACGTGACTTTTCAGCAGCCCTCATTGAGAAGAACCAACAGCCCCCACTCCTGACCCAGACCATCCTCCTCTGCACATTTTCTCCTCGTCTGACACAAAGCTGTTAAGCATGTGCTTAATTGCAAGTAAGCATTTGCATGGAGGACAGGGGCTGTTTCCAGGCCAAGCTGGTGGCTCCCCTTCCCCAGCCTGGGGCACGCAGGGCAGCTGGCAGATCTACCTGCCTCATCCACCTTCCAGAGCCCCTGTGTGGCCAATCCCACATGGCCACAGTGGCCAAACAAGTGGCTGCCACCACATGGACCTGTCCAGGGACAAAGCCCCTCGTTCTGTGCCAGCTCCCTCTGACCCCACAGCACTGCACTGAGGGGGGGAAGCCCTGCCCCACATCAGTCAGCTCTGAGCAGAAATGCCATGGGACTGACAGGGATGGCTGGCAGGCTGAGTGCCCTCTCCCAAAACCCCTCACTGCTGGGTGAGTGCTGGAGCTGCCTAGCTGAGTCAAAGCAAGCGCTGCTGAGAGGAGCATTCAATTAGACTGGAGTGCACACAAGGGGTCAGTGATTTTCCTTTCACACTGCATTTCACCTAACAGGCCCTGGTCCAGACTCGTAACTGACTACTTCAGCTGGACGCACTCTTGGAATGAATCAGGCCAATATCAGGGTTTTTTCTTCCAAAGGGAGATTAAAACCCAAGTGTTTGGTCCTCAGGAAGAGCTAACAAGCCACACTTACTAACACCAGAGCCCCTGTCAGTGATGCACAGGCCATGGGAAAACTGGAAACCCACTAACAGGAGGAGAAGTGGAGTTCACTACGGGAAGACAGATACTGATCTGCTCTGCCAGACCAGCTGCTGCTTTAATACATTTTCCTGCGGCCTTTCCACATCTGGGACACAAAACGTATTAGAGTATTTCACTGTCTTGAAGGTGCAAACTGATGTTAGGTTTTTGCAGCACAAAGAAACACACTATTACAACTCTTCTCTTGATACTGCCACTCTGGGACTTAAAAATAAAAACAGCTTGTTAACTTGTTGGCAATTCTAACAATTAAGGAAAAGGGGAAAAAAAAAAAAAAAGGCTCTCCTGACTAGCAGGATGGCTTCCCAGCAGGCTCGATCAGCGATTTTAGGGGAATACGCTTCAAATAAGTGGGAAGTGTAGAAATATTAGGCATGAACGAATATTAATGTTATGCTTCATTTATATCCTGCTGTACTTGACATCAAAGGATCTCAGAGCAGCTTTACAAATGCAATCTGACGCTACACGAGTTGGGTTTCTGAATAACAATAAATACGGGAGTACGTGGGAAACTGAGGCACCTCGGGCTCTGTGACTGGTTCAAGGCCAGCGACACAGTAGCAATACCAGCTGGTACTAGAACCCAATCTCCCCACCCATCTTATATCACCACTGCCCTTACTGCTGTCTCCACAAGACATTTCCTTGCAGCCTGATCTTGCCACAGTTGCAAGCACGGAGGGCTCCCGCTGACTCCCAACAGCTTGGCAGTGCTCAGTTGTTTTAGCTCATTCCCCTGGCCCTCATATCCTGCTGCTCATCCCTTCAGGAACACAGCATCCTTCTCAGCCTTTATGGCATCGGTGACAACAGGCTCCTGGCCGCCCTCCCAGCCTACCCAGGTAGAGGAAGGTGCTACCAGGAACACACATTACAGCAGAACAGTGTGACGAGCCAGGACCAAAGATGGAGTGAACTCTCATCTGTGCATAGTCCGCTTTGAGTCACTCATTAATTATCTGTCTAAACACCTTACTGGATACAGCACTTGATGCTTTCAACATCGGCAGACTGGTGATAGTCGTGATTATTTTCTTTGCCACAGCAGTCCTGGGGAAGCTCAAGGGTGATGGGTGCTTCTGCCACTGCGTTTCAATTACGACCAGGCAGCTTGTTCACTTGCCAAGCGCCGCCAGCAGCCCCAGCCCGATGCTGCTGCTTGACCCGCCTTGGCAGGGACAGCTCAGTCCTGCCCGGGGCTGAGGGGCTGCTCCGCAGGGATGCTGAGCCTCAGCCACAGCCAGCGAGAACCACGGGTGCCTTCACACCCTCTGAATAGGATTCCTGACTCCCAGTGAGTCCTCTGAGAGCCGTGACCATGCCAAGATGTCAGGACTGAGCTCCCAGTGTTTAACACACCCAGTCTTTGTGGAATTAGCGCCAGCTACTAGATTTGCTGGCTGTCAGGCAGCTTGTACTTTGCCACCAGGGAAAAACTGTTCAACTTTGCTAGAGTAGGTCTATGAACCAAGTGCATTAAGACTACATATTTTACCACAGAGTGGAGATGCCACACTAAACACTCCGGTTACCATGGGAAACCTTTCTCTCTTTGCCACTGGCATTGCACAGGGAAGCCCAAGCCCAAATGCTCTATCTCGCCTCTGAAATCAAACAGATGTTTTCACAATCTTTGATGGAGCCGAGCTGTGCACTCGTCCCAGAGGAAGGAAAAAAATGCAGCGTTAAAGCAGCCCTTTCCCCTCTCTTTTTCCCAAGCATCGTATATTTTTAGTGACAAGGGAAACAGGCGACTCTGTCTCGCGCTAACATTTACGGCCACTCGGAAACAAACTGTGACAATGGCAAACTTCTGCCACGAACGCGGGGAGCCGAGGCTGCCTGTGTGCCGTCCCCGGCAGGGCTGTGCGCCGCGGGACGGGACATGGGGCTGGCGATGCCCACAGACACCCGGCGGGCAGGGCACCCACGGGAAGTGGGGCACCGGCGACCAGGTGAGGGGAACGATGCTGTGCCCGAGCAGGCGGGAGGGTCTCTGGGGAGAGCAGGGAGGGCAGCGGGCTGGGAGGCTCAGCCGCCCGCCCGGGGGAAGCGGGGGATTCGCTCCAGCTCGGGAGAGGTGGCGACAGCAGCGGCCCCGGGACGGGACACAACGGGATGGGGCCGCTGCCCACCGCCGGCTACCGGGTCCCCGCGCCCCTCGCCCCGGCAGGTGCCCGCCGCCCGCCGTACCTGTATATTTCTCTTCTCGCAGGCCGGGCCGGTGCCCTGCACCACGCTGTCCAGCACGGTAACCATGCCGGCGGCCGGGCTGACGAAGCAGGAGTTGCGGGCGGCCCGGATCGTCTCCTCGATCTCGGCGAAGCGGAAGACGCAGAGCGCGGACTGCGGTCGTCCCCGGGCGCCGCCGGCTCCGGCCCGCTCGAAGACGCCGAAGAGCAGCTCCTCGGGGGGCGGCGGGCCCGGGGCCGGGCCGGGAGCAGCGGCGGGGCTGCGCCAAGCTGCCCGCGCCGGGAAGACGGAGACGAGGCGGGTGAAGGCGTCGGCGGCGCCGCCGCAGCGCAGCCCCAGCTGGATGTAGGACTCGGTCAGCTTCTTGGTCTCGCCGCTGCCGTTGAGGGTGGCCTCGGCCGGCTCGCCCAGGCAGATGCGGGCCAGCAGGCTGTGCGCCGGGCTCTCCTTGTCGCCCGCGTTGGCCTCACTGTTGAGCGCCAGGTAGGCGTACGGGCGGCGGGCGGGCGGCGCGGCCCCGTGCTGCAAGAAGGCGCGGACGAAGCTGAGCTTGTGCCGCGCCTTGTCGCCCGCCTTGATCTTGAGGATGTTGTCGTCGGAGGGGTTGATGTCGAAGGTGAAAAGCTTGGCCAGGTCGCCGCGGGCGTTGAGGGCACGGATAGCGATCTCGGGCGTGTTCTCGAAGCGGTGGTCCTCCAGGCTGTGGTTGCGGGGGAAGAAGGGGCTGCCGAAGCCAGTGTAGGTGGCGGCCACCAGCAGCCGCGCCCCGCCACCGCCGCCGCGGCGCAGCACCAGCCCCACGGTGGAGGCGTTGGGGTGGTTGGCCGCGACGTTCAGCATGCTAGGGAAGACAGTGACCGAGTCGCTCCCGCCCGGCGGGAAGCGCACGGCCACTGCCGAGATGTTTGCCATGCTGCGCAGCTGGCAGAGGCCCTGGTAGATAGAGCCGCAGACGACAAGGACGCCCTGCTCCGGGTCGGGCTGCAGGATCTTGTTGTAGTTGTTGGTGAGCACCCTGGGGTGCTCACAGGAGGCCTGCGGCAGCTGCGGTGCGTGGCACAGCGGGCTGTCCAGCACCGGCCCCACCGCCGCCTCCGCCTCCAGTGCCAGCTCGCCCCCCGACAGCTGGAACAGCCGGTTGACGGCCGCCAGGTAAACGCGGGAGCCGGGGCCGTCCAGCGCAAAGTTGTTGGTGAGGGTGGGCGAGAGGAACTTGCGCTGCACCTCCAGGCCGGCGGCTCGGCCGGGCAGCAGCAGCGGCAGCAGCGGCAGCAGCAGCGGCAGCAGCGCGGGGGGCCGCGGCTCAGCGCCTGCCGCCGGGGCCGGAGCCGGGACCGGAGCCGGAGCCATCCCGCCGCCGCGCCGCACAGTGCATGTGCCCGTCGCCGGGCGCGGGAGGGGCGGGCGCGGGGCCTCACCGCGTCCCGGTTCTCACCGCGTCCCGGTCCGCGGGCCCTCGTGTGCCTGCGGTGAAGTTAGCGATGTCTCCCGCGCCGCCGACTGGGCGGCACCGAGCGGCTCCGGGGGGCTCCGGACAGGGCGTCCCCCCGCCGCGCGAGGGGCTGCTCCGGGCTGTCCCCCTCCTCTCCTCTGCCTCCTTCGCGTTTTGGAGCAGGACAGGCCGGGGGGGACGGGCGGGGGAAGAAGCACTTTTCCCAGCTGCGGCGCAGCACGGCGAGCCGGAGCAGCCACCCCCGGAGCCCCCTCGCCACCCCCAGCCCACACATCCCCCGCAATACCCGCTCCCGCTCCCCGGGGACCGGGCGGGGGACGAGGCCCCACCCCTGCAGCGGCTCTGCCCGCGCCACTCGTCAAAAGCGGAGCACAGACCGGCCTGCGCGTCTCCTCCGCCCTCCAACGGGCGCCGCTCTAACACGACCCAAAGCGATTTCCCAAATTACACACTGGGATGATGCAGAGGACAGCCCCTGAACCGTCCCGCGGGATCGCTCCACCTGAGCGGGTTCACTCCTGGCAGTGCCAGCTGGGGGGACACGTCCGAGCCTGAGGAGCGCTCCCGGGCACGGCCGTGCGGGGAGCCAGGGCCCAGCCCGGGCTGGAGGCAGACGGGCACACGCGTCCTGCAGCACAGACTTTGCTTGCCCGTGTGTCTCACGGCCCTGCAGGCTTCATGAACCAGCCCTGAGCAATCAGCCAGCCCATTACCCAGCTGGCCTCCTGCCACAGCACCGTGACACAGGGCACAGCCACAGGTCGCGCAGGGTCCTGAATCCCTGGGCAGCACAGCCAGGTCCCCGTGCAGGAGGGGACGCGGGTGTGCTGCAGCGTGGCAAATACCAAGGTCATGACATGCTCAGCGTGCTTCAAGCCGAAGCGCTGGCAGAGGTAACAGGCAAGAGGAGCGGCCGTGGGATGTGGGCACGGCACGCTTGCCTCAGCCTGGGTTCCCACCAAGAGCAGACCTGGCTGGAGCACCCGTGCCCTGCAGGAAAGGCAGCGGTGGTGCAGCTGCAGCAGTTGTGTCAGCGAGGCTCGGGCATGGAGGCATCGCACCAGCCACCAGCAGCTCAGCCTCTGAAACAAGGGTGGGAAATGGAGGCTGGTGTTTGGTCGCAGCTGCCTGGAAATGCTGCACAGGCGAGCCCTGAAGAGCTGTCCTCCCTCTCCCCAGGCTGTGCCTTAGGCCCCTGCCCATTCCTGTGGCATGGAACTTTAGTTATACAAAACATGTTAATGAGGCTGATGGGGATTCTGCACGACTTCTGTTCTGCAGAGAAAAATCCTCTGTTGTTGTCTAATCTCATTTCTACACCTGCCAATTTTCCTTTCCCCTTCCTGTCTCCTCACCCTCTTCAGAGCACTAATTAATACACAACTGCCTTGGCCATGCCATGTCCACTGAAAATCTGCATTGAATTAAATGCTGTGCTTTCTTGCTATCTAACTCATTGTCTCCGCTAATCATATCCTTAATTAAGAATTATTAGCTGTTTTTAAATGTGGGACTCACAGTTGTTAGTGGCGTTTTCCCCTTAAACTACAAGTTAGCAATTTTTAAATGTGATCATGTCTTTAATTGCATGGAAATAAACCCACATGATCCCAAACCCTTAATCTGCCTATTTTAGGATTTCTTATGGCTGCTTACCCTGATAGCAGAGCATCTTCCATGTGAAATCAGCCTTTTAAGGCATATCAAATTAGGTTCCAGATTACAGTGAATTAAAAAAAAAAAAATAGGCCAAAGAACATTGAAAAATGTGTGACTTACCCAAAGGTATCCAGTACTGGCTCTGTCAGAAAAAATTCCCCAGGAACTCTGACTCCTATTGCCTATGCCAAACATTTGTCTACACTGATACAATTAAAGACAAAATATTTGTGGTATTCAAGGATTATTTGACAAAGATTTTATTGCTATTGTTGTTGTTAGGAAACAATTTTCTGGTAAGATGCTTTGAGGGGAATATTTTCCAGAAATGATTTCCCACCCCTATTATCTAGGCTGTTATAAGCTCCAGTGAGTATTTCAGGATAATGCTCCTAATGGAGTAGTAGAGGTTTTTAAATCTCTCATACACAGATCTCACCATTATTTTTTGTTCAGGAAGAGAAAAAGGTCAAAATTAAACCACAAGCCTTTTGTCACACAACATCACCCCCTGGCAAAATCCCTTCCTCTTTGACTCGTGTGCAGGTTTGAGGATACCAACCTCTCAGCTAGGACAGGGGGAGAGAGGCTGTGCACACAAGAATTCAAAACTGCTTTAATTATTGATAAATATATTTATACAAGAACACTTTCCCTTTAGGGGAAACATGAGTTACTCATGCAATTACTCAGGTTATATTGACTCAACACTGTCAAGCCCCTGGATTTCATCACTTTAATACAGAGAGTATAAACATGTGTTTATTCAGCAGGGGTTATCCGTGACGTGCCCATAGGGTGCCCTGTGGATTTGGGGAGGACATCCCCCCTGGCAGCCAGCGGTGGCAGCTCTTGGCCCAGCAGCCAGGGCAGGGCAGGGCAGGGCAGAGGGGCTGCTCACAGGGCAGGCAGGCAGCACCACTGGTGCCTCCTTGCCTGGGGTGACAGGGACCCCCAGGGACCTGAGCAGACAGCGTGCTCCATGCCTCTGTGTGTGGCAGGAGGGCGTGGGGCAGGCCCAGCCGGGCAGCACGTGCTGGCACAGGGGGCAGCTGCCCCACACAGCCCTGCAGGGAACAGCCCTGGGTCAGCTGGCACCTGCAGGGAGCAGCCCGGGCTCAGCCAGCACCTGCAGGGAACAGCCCTGGGTCAGCCAGCACCTGCAGGGAACAGCCCTGGGTCAGCTGGCACCTGCAGGGAGCAGCCCGGGCTCAGCCAGCACCTGCAGGGAGCAGCCCGGGCTCAGCCAGCACCTGCAGGGAACAGCCCTGGGTCAGCCAGCACCTGCAGGGAACAGCCCTGGGTCAGCTGGCACCTGCAGGGAACAGCTCTGGGTCAGCCAGCACCTGCAGAGAACAGCCCGGGCTCAGCCAGCACCTGCAGGGAACAGCCCGGGCTCAGCCAGCACCAAAGCCCCCAGGACAGGGGGAGCTCCCTGGCAGGACCCTGGCAGGGGAGCTCCCAGCCCAGGGCTGCTGTGGGAGAGCCCTGGCAGTGCAGTGGATCAGAAGGTGCCCCAGCTCTGACAGAGAGCCAGCCCCCCTTTTTCTCATTTCCTTTATCCCCTGCCCCTGTGTGCAGTTTGGGTCTGTCTATGTGACTGCAGAGCAGGTTGGCAGTAGACCACAAGGTGAATTCACAAACACTTACGGACAATTTTTGAATTTCTTTAGCCACTTGCTTTCTATCTCAGAAACCTGTACTGATGGAAAATGGCCACTGGATAGCTGTATTGCATCAGAGCAAGGGGCCAGTCCCTATCTTCTCCCCATCCTGCCTGAGGCCATGAGTGGTTATCCTACAGAAGAAGGTAACAGGTAGGAGAAAGTGGAGTGGTCCCCTTGGTGTCCCCTGTCCCAGCCCAGAGATGCCCAGAACAAGGCTGCCCCCAGAGCAGCGTTTCTGAGCAAAGAGCCATTCACCAGGGAAACACAAGGTGAGATGAGGAGGAGCAGAGAAGCACTTGGACACAGGGAAATCGCTGCCTGAACTAGAGCTGTTCCCTGATCACCACACTTCCCAGATTCTCTCCGGCCATGCCTGTTACCCTGCCCTGATGCTCTTAGATGTCAGTCTCCCAAATCATCAGGCTGGATACATCAGCAAGTGCTCACTCAGGCACTTCAGGGCACTCAGAAATAACAGTGGGCTTGGAAATAGAGTGATTAGCAATCCTCAGTGTATTTTTGGATCAGCGTGGACAGAGACCCCATTTTATTGTTACTAATCTGTGCTGCAGGAACTGCTCATGGATGAGGCCAGAGTGTCATTCCTGTTTTTACTAATGATTTAGCACAGTGGCAGCCTGCTAGGTGCTTAGCAGAAAGACTGAGGCAAGGTCACTTCCCCAGCGTCCTTTGACCCAAGCTCCCGCCCCGCTGTGGTCCGGGCTCGGCTGTGACAGGAGCTGCAGGGCACAGCACGCTCCGCTGCCACCGCCCTGTCTGGGGACGGGGGACAGGGATTTATGGGGACCTCAGCCACTTTCTGAGGAAAACCAGCCTTTTCTTCCTTGAGCCTCTTTGTTTTCAAAGACGAGCCTTTCCCAGTGTAATATAGAGCCCTGCTCTCCTCGGCATGTGTAATGCAGTCATAACCTTGTCTGCAGCAGGCAGCCAGCTGACGTGTTTGCCATGAGGGATTTGCCTCCTGAGAGGAGCTGTGCAGACAGAGATTGTGAGCACAAAAAGGTTTCTTTCTGGGTTAATGACATATTTGGTGATGGTGAAAGTTCACACACACAATAATGGCAGGACTTTCTGGACTGGGAGGTTTATCACAAGGCAGTAAAGATGGGTCTTTGGCAGCCTGTGCTGGGTTTGACCTGGGCACTGTGGGTGGACAGAAGCTCTTTCACCACTTGGACCCTCACTGGATGCAAGAGCAGCAGGTTTCCCAGTTTTCCCCAGACCTTCTTGGTGACCTGTTGCTTTTATTTTCCTTAGAGGCTTAGGGAGGACCCAGCACTCACTTATCCCAGTTTCACATTGGTCAGGGCTGGAGATGTGGCTCATGAGCTCAAATGCAGCTCCAGTTCTGATCTGTGGGAAGCTCAGCCTGTGCTGGGGTGGTGGCCAGGTGGAGCACAGTCCCTTCCACCCCGGTTACACTGACGGCCTCTCATCCATACCTGTCTCTTGCCAGCATGGGCATCACAGGCAGGCGTGGGTGCAGGTGGGCAGGGCAGAGTAGGGCCCTGGCTCCAGCTAGCACCAGCCTTAGGGGGTTCCTGTGAGCAGCAATGGTTTTCACACCATTTTGCCTGCGCTGGGGCCTGTTAAGCCCCCCAGAGCTGC